TAGGCTACACAGAGAAACACCTCTTGAAACAAACAAACAAACAGCAAGCTTCTAGGAAGCTGCCAGGGTTCAGTCCCTGAGAGACAGATGCCCTGCTGCTGAGAAGCTTAAATTCATCCTTCAATGGCTGTCTTTTCTTTAATCAATTTTCCAGTATAACTCAGAACACCAACACCTTCTTATGTTATATGTTTTCTAGGATTGCTTTCTTCATGCTACTTGAACTTATCTCTTCTTCCAAGGTCCATTTCTTATGAAATCTGAGACTCCCCTACAAAAGGACTGGACAAAGAGAATGGAATACTCTAGCCTGTGTTTCCCTCCATTATTCCAAGAATGCTTTGAACCAGGAATTTTTGTCCTTGGGAAATTTGTTCTGCCAGAAGGAATAAGATGCTTTGAAAATCTTTCTACTCTCTGATTGCTCTAGGCTATATTTTGCTGTTAAATAGGCAAATGGATGGAACTAGAAAATATTATCCTGAGTGAAGTAACCTAGACAAAAAAAGAACACAAATGATATATACTCACTGATAAGTGAATATTATCCTAAAAGCTCAGAATACCCACAATACAACTCACAGACCATATGAAGCCTAAAAAGAAGGAAGACCAAAGTGTGGATACTTCAATCCTACTTAGAAGGGGGAACAAAATAATCATGGTAGAGGGAGGGAGGAACCTGGGAGGAAGAGAACGGGGGGAGAAAAAAAAGGGAGCAAGATCAGGTATGGGAAGAGAAGTACAGAGAGGTCAGGAAATTGAACAGAAATATGTAGTGGTGGGGGATAGGGAACTGTGGGTAGCCACTAGAAAGTCTGAGATGCTAGGGCAGCAAGATGTTCCCAGGACCCAATGGGGATGACATTAGCCAAAATACCCAACAAAGGGAAGATAGAATCTGTAGAGACCATCTAGTAGATAGGCAATGCCCCAGTTTAGGATGGGGCCACCCACCCATCTCAAATATTATAACCAAAAATTGTTCCTATCTAAAGGAAGTACAGAGACAAAAGTTGGAGCAGAGACTGAAGGAAAGGCCATTCAGCGACCACCTCACCTAGGGATCCATTCCACCTGCAGACACCAAACCCAGACACTATTGCTGATGCCAAGAAGCAGGAACCTGGTATATCTGTCCCCTGAGAGGCTTTGCCAGCACCTGACCTATACAGATGTAGATACAGCCAACCATCAGACTGAGCCCAGGCCCCCCAATGGAAGAGTTAGGAGAAGGACTGGAGGAGCTGAAAGGGATTGCAACCCCATAGGAAGAGCAAGAATATCAACTAACCTGACCACTCAGAGCTCTCAGGGGCTAAGTCACCTACCAAAAAGTATACATGGAGGGACCTATGGCTCCAGCTACATATGTAGCAGAGAATTGCCTTATCTGGCATCAATGGGAGGGGAGGCCCTTGGTCCTGTGGAGGCTTGATATCCCCAGTGTAAGGGAATGCTAGAGTGGTGAGATAGAAATGGTGGGGCACCCTCACAGAGGCAAAGGGGAGGGGGATGGGATGGGGGGGTTGGAAGGGAAACTGGGAAGGGGGACAACATTTGAAATATAAATAAATAAAATAACCAAAGAAAGGAAAAGAAAAGAAAGAAAAACAAAAGAAAAGGAAAGAAGCTATTGACAATATACAGCTGCAGAGGGGATAGAAAATAGGATTTCTTCAGGAATATTGCCCATGAACAACTACATGTGCTCTAATTCATGTACATACAAATGGAGTCCATGATGTAGGGGGAGAGCAAGAGAGGTTGTATAAGAAACGGAGGGTAGTAACTGGAATAGACAGAATGGGAAGTAGAATTTGGTAAAATTCTCAATAAAAATTATCAACAAAATAAAAGTCAAGAGCCATCTAGATCAATCTATTAGAAAACAATTCCCATTGTGCTACAAACTTTTTAGCACTAGACTCTGGCTTTCCTCTTAAGTGTGAAAATGGTCAAGGGCATATAGTTGCTGGAGACCAATTTAACATTAAAGGCAGTTGAACAGGATAATAAAATAGGAAGAAGAAAAACCTTGAAATATGTTACTTATTTTCTCTGAGGGATGAGAAAATATTACATCTATGAAAGGAAAACATAGCATCACAAGGGGCACAAGAACAACAAACATGAAGTTTAGAAAGGCAAAGACCCTGAAAATACCAGAAGACAGATTTTATAGATTTTCTAAAAAAGGGGCAAAAATATAAAGTCAGAAAACTGTAGAGTAAAAGAGATGTCTGCAAGTGTTTTTACACCTTGAGCCAGGAAGAAGGGATACCACCCATCCACAGCTGATGAGGCTGATGAAGGGATGATCCAAAGCTGAAAAATAGTAACCTGGTTCTATTGAATAAAATAAAACAAAATGTATGCAAGCTTCTTGGGCCTAGAAAGGATGTAGAAGTACTAATTAGGTAGCTCTTACAGGTGTGCTGATAAATTATGCAAAACTAGAAAGTGGATGAAACAAAAGTTAAGAGGAAAAATGGAAATTAAGTGGTAAAACAAACTGAACTTGTGACAGAGGAGGTTATGGTGGGTAACGGTGGGACTTGGGGAAGGAGGGGTCTGATGTAAGAGGAAGTGCTAAAGACCAGCCTCAGCTTGAAGAGATGGTCCTGGGGAAGAGGTGTTTGGGAGTGGCCAAAGAAAGGACTCAAAGTCAGTGATGAGTGCAAGCTGACAACTCTGTAGTCTGCTTGAGATGGCCCTCTAGATAGCTCTTTGCTAGAGACAGCTAACTACTTGGGATAACTCTTTATATAGCTTTCTAGATAGCTCACTAGATAGCTCTTGGGTTTTCTGACTTCCTACTAGAAAAATTCTAAAAGAGCTATATTAGCTCTTTAGGTAAATCCTGGGTTTTTTTTAACAAAATCAGAAAACCCACCAGAAAAATTCTAAAAGAGCTATATTAGCTTTCCAAGCAGCTCTCTCTAGGTAGCTCTCTCTTGCAAACCAAAGACTAGTCTTTTATTTTCATATAAATTCAGTCATTTAATCAAGATTCCTTTTTGAGTATTCCATGAATCAGTATTTTATGACCTTAGACCCTTGATTCTTAGAAAAGGACAGCAACCACTTGTTGTTTTTTGGTTTTTTTGTTTGTTTGTTTGCATAGCAAATGAACTCAAAACATTTGCCTGTCTTTGTAAGCACAAACAATGAGTTTAGCTGGATAGGATCTTGCCCTGAGATCATCATTCTTTAAATCTCGTTTTCTCCTTCATTAATATCTTTCTGACAAGCTGGCTCATTAGTACAGTTGCCTCTGTTCTTTTAGGTCCATGAAGCCCCTCATATATATAATTCATATTGCATCCTTATAGTTTGCATAGTTGAGAAATCCTTTAAAGGATTTCACTTACAGCTCTTACACTGATTTATGGATTCTTGAACTCATGTTTTCAGAGTTCTTTCCCACAGCCTTAAGAGCTGTCCTGAAGGTCTCAGCATCATAGAGACACATTCTCACTTCCCAAAATCATGGAGTCATCAACCTTGGCAGAGAGGACATTCTCTCACGAAAGAAGAAACATAAAGAAAAATATGTACATTATTATACAAAAAGCCTTATGCCTAGCAACCGTCAACACTTATGAAGGCTCACACCCTGTTGGCTTTGCTCCAGGGGCAAGAACCCTGTCATATTGTTCCTTCCATGGCCATGCAGGATAGGGCAAGGAAGAACAGATAGATTCAGTTTCTCCATATTTCCAGAATGAATTAGACTCTTCTTAGCACCGTGAGCAATGAATGAGAAGCAGGCAGGTAGAAGTGGTGAGTTTGGATGTAGGAATTGGAATAGGGATCACAAATTTAATCAGTCTTTTCTGAACTCTTTTTTGGTGTCAAATAGAGGGATGAAGTTCTTGTCTTCACATTACAGACCTTGCTAGGGTCGGAGCCTGGGCCTACAGCAGCACTAATGAGATAACAAGCCACTTGTCCTCAACAGGCTAATTAGAGAGACAAGCAACAGTGGAGAAGGGAAGCAGAGGAGGGTGATGTTTTCAGTGTGTGTACACTGAGAAGAGGACAAATAAAGTGGTCCAGTAAAACCATCCCCTCAGTTTACTTTTTGAGTTCTGACGTGAGATTTAGATTTAAATACTTGAAGACAAGAGGTATGCACGACCAAGTAGCCCTGGTCAAGATGTGTCTCTGCTCAACACTCACCCATCCTTGTCTCAGCACCAATCTATTCTGCAAAAAGTGGCCCCATTAGCTTGCTTTTAGAAGCTCAAAAACGCAGGACAGTAGTCGTGCCTTTAATCAGAGGGAGCAGAGGCAGGTGGATCTCTTTGTTAGAGGACAGCCTGGTCTACAGAGCAAGTTTCAGGACCTCGAAAACAAACAAACAAACAAACAAACACAAACAAACAAAGCATCGGTAGTGGGGCAGGCCTGTAATGCCAACAATCATAAGGTTAAGGACTGTGAGTACAGGCCAGCCTAGACTATGTGGCGAGACCCTGTCTACCAACAAGAATGGGATTTACATTTCTTCAGGGAGATTGGCATTTGGTCTAGAGGTAATGAAATCTGGTGGTGAGCCTGTGTGCAGAATACTTGGACAGCAACTGTGGATAACTCCTTCTGTTTAATAAATGCCCTGTGCTTGCGGGGGGCCGGGGGGGGGGGGAAGGTGCCTGTTCAGTCACTTACTACCATTAGGTTAGAGCCACTGTGACAAAGCGTGAAATGCTGGGGTGTGTGTACGGAAGAGAAGTATCCTAGAATAGGAGCTCAAAACTTCCCACTAGTATAGTAGAAAGCGCACAGGACACGCAGGCGCAAAAACAGCCCTCGTGCACTCAGTCAAAGGCGGCGGGAAGTTGGTCTTATGAGCAGGAACTGAGCAGCATGAAGACCGATTGGAGCCCACGAACCAATAAACAAACGTCTCATTGGCGAAGCGCGCGCAGGCGCGAGTCCCCCAGCTTTACATTGGGCCTTTCACGCAGAGGGGGCGTGACTCCAGGGCTCCGCCCCTCGCCTCGGCCCAGCCTCGGGGGTCCGGGCAGAGGGTTCCAGTGTCCGCGGGCTCGCACCTCTGTGTTTCTCTACGGTGCCGGCTGCGTGGAGCCGGGATGCGCTGCGCCTGCTGCGGGTCCTCACTATGGAGACCAAACGCCTGGAGATCCCCGGCAGCGTCCTGGATGATCTCTGCAGGTACTAGCGGTTCACCTTCGCCTCCGCGTTCCCTCAGCCTAGGGGCGGCCCCGATCTCCGTTCTCCCTCCCTCTCTCCTCGGTTCCTCTTTGCTACTCAACCTCGGTTCTCCCTACCTATTCCCGGGTTCCACTATGCACCCCAGCCTCGGCTTTCCACCAGTCCTGGGTCTCAGCACCGAGCCCGGGCCTCGGGTCGCCCTCCCTGTCCCCGGGCCCCTCTTTCCGCCCTGGCCTTGATTCTCCATTCCCGAGTACCGCTTTGCGTCCTCGGCCTCAGGGCTCGTGCATTGTCGGGTCCCGTTTTGCGCCCGTTCCCAGCTCTTTCCCCTTCCCCGAGTCCTTTGCGACCCCGGCCTCTAGTCTTCCCCATCTCTGGGTCTGGGCCTCTCTCTCTTCCCCGGTCCCTGGTCTTTTGGAGTCCCGGCCTCGGCTCTGCATATCCCTTAGTCCCGCTTTCCCGCCCCGTGCTCGCTGGTGTCCTACGCCCATTCAGTTCCCTAAGTCTTTCAGTTTCTGTTTCTCTTACTCCTCCACCGTGGAGCACTGGAATACCTCATTTCCACTAAAGCTATTCTGCTTTTCCCTGCAAGTGACGCCTCTTCGCCCAAACCTGAATTCCCTAGTGGATTTCTGACCAATTCCTTCTTTGAAGTGTGTGGGGCTTTTTAAATTTTGTTTTGCCCTGCCTCTAGCTTTAACCTGTGGCTTTCTACCTCCTCCCTTCGCCTTTTCTCCACGTAGGTAGAATCCACTGTTTTAATTTCAGTTATATGATCCAGGTACCTGGGTCTACACAGGGAGCAATTTTCAAGCTTAAGCTTTCTTATCTACATGTTCGCCCGTGCCATTTTCTGTAAAGAATTAATTATTCTTTCCAGAATTTCCCCAGATTTATCTTTGGGGGCGAGAGGAAAAAAATCCAAGAGTTCCTTCCCTTTAATATCTTGATTCTTCCACTTGTACGGAAATGTTCACCCATGGGTCTTCACAGGAGTAAATTTCTGCGTTCTTGTCAACAGTGATTGCAGGCAGCCAAAAACATGTTCATGATACTTCCTTCTTTGTCGAAGTTCCTGGTACATTGTTAGGAAGTCCCTGCTAGTGCACTTGGACTGTGACATATTAAGATTGTGAATACTGATTCTGTATTCACTTCTAGTCACTGATCTCTGGGCTTACAAATGAAACACAGTGGTTGTGCCACATTCAAGCTGTTTGTTTTTTTTATTTTTTAAATACTTACTTTATTTCTAATTATTGGAGGCAGGGGACGTGTGTGTAGTAGGTATCTGCTCAGGCCAAAAGAGGGTGTCTGATACCTGAAATTAGAGTCCCTGGAAGTGGGTGCTGAGAAATAAACCTGAGTGTTTTTCTAGAGCCCCAGGCACTCTTGAGTCATTTTTAGGAACAAAGTATGCTTGAGAAGTTTTAACTGGTGTTCCTCTCAGGTGTGTTGAAACATTTGGTGCACTTGGATAAACAGAGACGAGGATTAATTTATACAGGGACACATCCTAATTTTGAAAATCTAGATTTGAAATCTTCCTTTCCTCTACACCATATGAGTGTCATGAAAAGTCGAGTCACGATCTTTAACCTTAATGTCTCATGTACACACAGAGTGCACACATAGGCTAATTGTATAGTTAATAAGCTCTTAGGCCTTTGTTCTCCCAGCACTGGCGTGGTAATTTGCTGCTGTCCATAACTCCAGTTTAAGGGTATCTGATTTCTTTTTCTGAACGTTGTGGGCACCAGGCGTGCACATGGTACACATGATACATTCATGCAAGCAAAACCACTTATATGCATAATTTTTAAGTCTATTAAAAAAAGATTTCTAGTTGTAATTCTTTGGGGTTGAGAGGAATACACTTTTGACATGTGGTAGATTCACATGAATCTATAAAAGCTACACGGAATTTATTTTCTGTATTCCCAAATTTGATAAGACAATAACTTAATGCATATATTTGGATTGGTCACTAGAAGAATTTGAGTGTAAAGTGGGACTGCAGGGCTGTAATGTTCATTTTGTTTATGTTTCCCAGTTTTTTTATTTGTTTCCACAGATGCAAGTTTTACAATTAGAAAAAAGTCAACAGTTTGGGAAAGTGAGTGACTAGTGTGGGTTAATAAAGATGAAAGTTAAAAGAGGGAAAAAGATCAGATGACTTTCCACTTTTTTACAGGCATCTGGAACTAGTGTTTTTAGGAGTTTTCAGGCTAGTCTCTGTTTCTTGGGATTTCATCATTTGAAGAAGTGATGTCAGCTGTTGATTGTAGCATGGCTCTGTTGACAGAATAATTACATCCTATTGTGCAGACAGCATGTTAAGCGACTAATAAGTGTTGAAGTGGTTGGTTCCAGTAAATGGTTAAGCTGCTTCCTTACATTACACCTTAATGTACACTGATGTTTTTAGCAGAGTGTGATATGTTCTGCTGGTAGGGCTAGATGCTTGATAAACTAGTTACTAAACCATTCATACTACTGTTGGTAAAAGTAACAGTTTTCAAGTTGGTATGTGTCTTGATTGATTTGTTTGTAGTTTATTTGTTTTAAAACATTCAAGCGATTAGAGGAATGGTTGCTTACCACTGTGCACATGTGGACAGCTCTGTGAAGTTGCTGCTGTCTTTTCACCTTTACATGGGTTCCTGCAGTCTAACTCAGGTCCCTAGGCTTACTGTCTCCCCAGCCCTCCAGTAGATTTTATTGTACTGTTAGATTCTGGTTCTTTTTTTTTCCCCACCCCTTCCCTTCTCCCTCACACTCCAGCCCTGCTAGCTCCAGCCCCACAGGTTTTTTGTTTTGTTTTGTTTTGTTTTAATTTATTATATGTAAGTACACTGTAGCTGTCTTCAGACACCTTATAAGAGGGCATCAGATCTCATTACAGATGGTTGTGAGCCACCATGTGGTTGCTGGGAATTGAACTTACGACCTCCGGAAGAGCAGTCAGTGCTCTTAACCACTGAGCCATCTCACCAGCCCCGTAGATTTTGATTCTCTAGTACAGTGCTTCTCAACCTTCCTAATGCCACAGCCCTTCAACACAGTTCCTCGTGTTGTGGTAACTCCCAACAGTAAATTATCTTGTTCTACTTCATAAGTGTAATTTTGCTACTCTTAAGAGTCATAATGTGAACATCTGTTATGTGACCCCAAAGGGGTTTCGACCCACAGGCTGAGAACTGCTGCCTGGCACATCTACATCTACCCCTGTAAATGTGTCCACAATTGGAGTTTCCTCGAATCCCTCTGCCCCATCCCACTTGTGTCTTGGGTATATCTAAACCTCAATTGTGGTATGTGCTCAGAGGACTCTATGCAAAAGGTGTGAGGCTAAGATAGTTTTCAGTCCAAAACAGGCACAGATTTTTCTTTTCTGGAAGAAAATTATACTACAGAAACAAAAATTGAATACACAGGTTCTTAGAGGAATCCCCCACCCCCACCCCAAAGGGAATCAGAATTCTTTGGTAATAGTTATCCTTGGGTGTGATATCTAGGTGGGTACTTGGATATTTTAGTATCTTATTGAGTAGTAGACAAAAGGTTTTAAAATAGGGTATCCTGTGCTGGGCTGAGATAGAGTGTCCTGTGTGCTCGGCTGACCTCCCACTTCATGGCATAGGGTGTCATGTGTGCTAAGTTGGCTAATAATGGCGCTTGTATTTCCTTCCTGCTTCTTCCGCCTCATTGACATATGTGCTACCCTGCCTTATTTATTCCGTAGTAAGTTTTAAAGCACTAGTTGTCTTTCTTATGACTGGCCATCTGGGATAAGGTGCCATAGGTCTTTACAAGTCAGACTCCAGATGCTTTTATAAGACCGTTACAAGCCAGGTTCCAAGTAGTCAACAACTGACTGTTAAAAGGTGGGAGATTTTATATATATATATATGTATATGTATATGTATATGTATATGTATATGTGTATATATATAATATATATTATATATTATATATTTTTATGTATAATATTAATATATACATATTGTTAAGAGTGCATGTCTGAGAGATCTACATGATTTCTTTTTCCCCCCCTTCCTTTCTCCCTCTTTCTCCAGCCCCCTCTCGCTGTGGTTCTGCTCACTCTCGCCCAAAGGTTTGCTTTTTTTTTTTTTTTTTATTGTATGTAAGTACACTGTAGCTGTCTTCAGACACCCATATGAGGGCATCAGATCTCATTATGGATGGTTGTGAGCCACCATGTGGTTGCTGGGAATTGAACTCATGATCTCTGGAAGAGCAATAGTCAGTGCTCTTAACCGCTGAGCCATCTCACCAGCCCTACATGATTTCTTAGAATTGAGGATGTTTTGTTTTCTCTAAGAGGAGGATGACATTGTCTGATGTACAAGTGGCCTGGGAAGGGAGCCCTTTCTCATGGCGGGTGGGTGGCCTTAATGTAATGAGAGCCTAGCTCTAGAGGCCTCCATCCAATGAGACTGTGAGAGAGCTGTGGGTGTGAAAGCACAGTAGCATTTGTTGCTTCTCAGCAGTGAGAGCGTTAGGGGTGATAGGTCCAGGGCTTTCTGGAGATGATGTAGGGAAGGTAGCTGTGTGTATGGGTTGGAAGTAGGGGTTCTTTATGAGAACAGTTCATAAAGATAGCTAGCCATAAGGCAAAAGTGGGCTATGGAAGGCCTGGAGCGATGGCTCAGTTAAGAACACTTGTTGCCCTTCCAGAAGACCCAGGTTAAATTCTCAGTACCCACATGGCCACTAACAACTATTTGAAACTTGAGTTCCAGGTAATCCTATGCCATCTCCTGTGAGCACTGCATGAATGTGCACAGGCATACGTTGACCGTACAGAAAACTGCCAGATTCCGGAGTTCATTGCCTAACCCACCAGTAAGAGACTCTGTATCAAGAAATAAGGTGGAAAGCTGGGTGTGGTGGTGCACATCTTTAATCCAAGCATTTGGGAGGCAGAGGACAGCCAGAGTTACATACGGAGTCCCCAACTCACAGCAAAACAGAAA